AAGCATCAAACTTCATAAATCTAATGAGTCTGTTGTTAAACACATTCTTTGCTAAATATCGGTTAGAAAGCCGACATAACTGACCAAAAAACTGTAAAAACTTCCTATATTCAATTTATTTTTTTCTAAAGCACTTAGATTTAAAGTACTTAAAGCAAAGTCTGTACTTATACTTATATGTAAGGGACTGCATGTAGTTTATACAAAATCTGTGTGAATCTTTCTAATTTTATCATGTCAGTGTCTGAAATGCTACTCCAAAAAAGCTCACATCCGTATAAAACTCTTCGGAATGACTATTGAATTATACAATATCTTAGAAGAAACCGGATTTAATCCATCTGGATGAACTCCACTATTACAAATATTTCAAAAAAAGTCCCCCTTAGTTTATTACATGCATCTGCAATACAGGATTTCGTTAGAGAGAAAAGAGTCACATTTTATGCCGAGATGTACATAACTATCTCCTTGATTAACATAATTGTCACCGAGCATATAATGTTCGTATTTTACTATCAGGTTGGCGTTCATTGAATACTATCACCGAACACTTGTTAGCATTTGTATTGGAATCTCCCAACGACTTGCGTATGAATAACAAAATATCCAACATAGACTGCAAAAACCATTTGAAAGAGCAAATGATATCAAAGTACCATGTCGTCTGCTACTGTGGGTGTTCCTACGTCCAGTCCGTACATACAAATACCTAAACCACTACCCTGTAATTCGTTGATAAGTCCATTTATGTACGCAAGATAGAAAATTGGCGAAACATTTGCCTCCCTGCCTTGTACCTTGTAGAACATCGAACCACTTTAGAACGTAGACCTTGATATTTCACACAACTTTGCATGTTTGAGTACATAGATTTGATCGCTCTAAACGAAGTTGAGTCAATTTCGAATCTCATTTAAAAGTTTAAACAGCAACCCCGAATGCCAAAACAGTGTCAAAAGCTTTGCCGGCCGTCCATAAAACAAACATACACTCTAGAGCCATACTCTCTTGCAAAGAAAATGCTTTCCCGTAGAACAAATGACATCATTAAACATCCTAAACCATCTTGAAAGCCGCCCTGTTGTACATTGATAGTTTCTAGAAATATTATCTTGACATCTTTTTTAAAAGTACCATTTCAAAAACTTTCATTATTACAGAAAGTAATTGCACGGTAGTTATCAGGGTTGTCTTTTCTTTTTGTTTGACCCTTTTATGAAGTGTGACAAATTACACCTCGTTTTCATGTTATCGGGGACATATCCATGACGTAACATAAATGTGTATACGTTAGCTAAAATAGGCGATATAAATTCTTTTGCCAAAATTAGGTGTTCATATTGTAATGATTGTTCATCTCCACCCGCTTTTTTCTCTTGGGCATAAACTTATGGCATCATTCACTACTTTCGGCAAGACGACGACATCCGGATCCGGAATGATGGTAATTTTCAGTTGACTGAATTTCCGATCAACCATATTCTTCCAATTTTCATCAAACATCGTATTCGAGGTTGGCATATACAATGATTTTAAAATAATTTCCCCATCCTAGAGTTATTTCACTACGATCTCTAACTGTACATCCATTAAAGTTCATGCCAGCACATAAAGAAGAAGATTCAGTGTTTTTTCGTCTGGCCTTGATTTTTTTCCAAAAAGTGTCTGAGTCCAGTTCTGCAGTTCGATCTAAACTCCTCGTTCTGTTTCATGAGATATTGCTTAACAACTTTTCCTATGAATTCGACGGAAATTACATTTGGCTTTTTTGTAATTATGGAACGCCGGGTGAGAGTCATTTCGCGGTCTACCTTCTTTACACCCACTTCGTTCTTACTTTCCACTGTTCACTTTGTGCAGCCTTTAATTCACTATTCCAATAGGGTTTCAAATATTCGGCACATTTTTTTTACCGGAAATGCCCTTGATGAATATTGATATACTTTCGACACGATTAAATCAAATGCATTATCAATGCCTCTTGGGTCAAAGTCACAATACCTCAACTCTGCAAGATCACAATCATTCTGTAATAATGTGTTATATTGTCTTAAGTTTACTTCATTTACTTTTTTTCCAATTGATACACTTTTTTTTATCAATACATTGTTTAAATCTGCACAAGGTAAAAATTAGTTGGGCAATAATTGGTCTATGTCTTGAAACATTTAGACAATGGTCATCCATAATATGACAATAACTTACACAATCAATAATTTCTACAGGAACACATATATAGTCAATCATAGAGTGATACATATTATCATATGAAACATTGGAAAACTGAGGACCTGAACATATAGACGAAGTATTAATTGCGACAAGATTCGTATCATTGAAAAACTGTCTTAAGCATTTATCACGTGTAATTTTTGAATCGATCATAATGTTTGAGTTAAAATCGCCCAACAACAGGACTGACCCTTTGCAGGATTAAATGTGCCACAAATTATACAACTCATCTATACAATTTAAATACATAGAAACAGGGTTTATTACTACATGGCAAGTACACCTGAAATAAAAACATATATTGTCCAGGTGAAGTTTGCAACTGAATGCCGCAAATACGGTCACTGTCCGTTTGAAGTGGTGTAACATAATCATTCAATCGTTTATGCCAAAATAGCGCAACACCTCCTTTACCTACTCTTCTTTGGTGAGGTACTAATAAGTCTTTGTCACATTTTCACTGTAAATCTGTAATCTGATATTAAGGAATCTAGAAAATGCACATTTTGTGGTGTCAAAAAATGTTCAGATATACCACATATATCAACGTTATACTTCAGTAATGCATCACATAAATACGAAGAACTGGACATGATTCCAGTAACATTCCATGTAAATAAATTGAAATTCATACATAAAAAAATAATGTTTTTCAGGACAATATATAACATATACTTGTTGTAAACACTGATGAACATTTGTGTACATACTTAGTCAATATTCTCATTCCGCCTCATGCGGATGTTGTTATCGTTTCTGCGTTTACGTCGAAAACGTGGAGGTAATCTGTCATTTGTAGACCTCGTATTTTTACGATTCCCGCTCTTAATTTTGTCACGTGGTAACCATTGCTTACACGTGACCCCCTGCGGCCACACATTTTCATGTAACAATCTATCGGAAGATTTATCGTCAATAAACGCACAAGCGAACAATTACTTTATTTAGTACCTTTTTTGATGGAAATATACTAATATTTTTGACAACACTTCCATTATCATGCACGATTTTGTATATATCGTCCGTAGACACACAAGTACCGTATCCGCCTACAAACAATTTCCTTGGCTTACGGCGTACTTTTTTGATAAAGCAATCTTTCGCTACAGATTCCTCGTGAAAAGTGACTCGAACAGGGATCGACATAGGTGTAGAATTTCCGGCGCTATTATCACTTCTTACTCCAGATGACGAGTCAGCCGTCACCTTTGAGAGACAACTGTTCGTAGCTCTGTCGTTAACAACTGTTGCATCATTATAATCCATAGGTGTTGACGGCATTTTGCATTGTTGTGTGCTAGCGTAAGGTCTTGAAACCGAAAGTGGCCACATCATTATCGGTGGTGGAGGATATCTGGGTGGAAATTGTGGTAGCGACGGTGGTGGCATTGGCGGTGGTGGCATTTGTTGTGATGTGCTTGAGTCCGCTCTCTGCTTACACGACTTAGCTTCCGTTGAATTTTGAGGGGCCATTTTTAAAATTGTACTTGCCAACAATATACATACATGACGCACGACGCGACAAAAACGGTTTTAATGACACTAAAAGTGCACTACAGCGATTTAAATGACGTCACTCTTCTTGCGTAAACACATGTTAAACACGGAAATGCTTTTTATCGTGTGTTATTGAAGTTTTTAAAGTTTATCTACGTCGGAATTTTGAGGAAAGTTTATAAGATGGAGGAGTTTGAAGTAAGTATCTTTAAAGTATACTTTATAGAATTAATTAAAGGGATACTTAAACAAATGATTGACAAAAAAATAGTAAATTGATGAACAGGTGCTCGTCCAGTCTTGGTGCCTATATAAAAAAATTGAAGTTAAAAAAAATAGTAATGGTATATAGGAAAAAAAATCAATTTTTTTGTCTTTCACTCAACCCATGATAGTTGTTTAGGTGTTAATTTTTTTTAAATTTTTTTTTAACTTTAATTTTTTTTATATAGGCACCAAGACTGGACGATCACCTGTGAATTGATGTTATTTACTCAAATAAAATGCTAAAATGTCATTCTCTTAAGTCCTAGCATGAATTTCTGTTCATACAGATTGGGTATATACTAAACAATTTGTAAGCTGACTGGATGAATACTATATATTTTGGGTTTGAAGCGTAATAATATTTTCATATATTGAACGATTTAAGAAACTAGTACCATAATTATGTTAAAGGGTTAACGCACGTTTTTCCGTGTTATAACGTCTGCAGAGTCCCGAGGAACGGTTGGATCGGGCTCGAGGGCGAGGGCTCCAACAGTTCCGAGGGACTCTGCAGACTTTATAACGCGAAATAAACGTGCGTTGACGCTATTATAGCATAAAATTTTAAAACAGATTCATGATGTATATTATATACAAATCACAAACATTGAATCCTTGTGCTTGAACGGTATGTTTTACGTATGCGTTTTATTTTTTCCGGGGCCAACATTTTAATTTCGAATTTTAATTGAATAAACAAAGTTTAACTTTGGAGATATATTAACTTAAGAAAAACATAACATTACTCTCCCCAAGACAAAACAGGCCCCTCAGAAATTCCTAGAATGATTACAGATTGGCGGTAGAAAAAAGATCAGTGACATCAGCTAGATTCAATTTCAGAATCGGTTTTTTTTTTTCAAGCACGCAAGTCTAAAAAAATCAGGCATAAAACATTATTCTCTCAAAGAAACATATGTTACCTTTGTTAAAATTATGCCCTTAAAGATGTAAAGGAATAAATATCAACGAGGCTGAGTTCGTTCAATACTTTTATTGAAATGTCCATTCAGTGTATGATCTCAGTATATTACTATATAATATAAAGCTTCAAGTAGATTTAACCCAAGAGGTTAAAGTCACATCACATTCACAACTTCACATCAAGTACTTGTTTAAGCACCAATCAATATATAATCAGTATCAAGAAGATATCAATATGAAGATCAATATGAAGATCAATATGTAGATCAATATGTAGATCAAGCCCTGAAACAAACAAATATAGCAATACTAAATACATGTACATACTGAGATCATTAACACAACACAATATATACAATTTAAGTCATAGCATGATTATAACATACATCTCACATCAAATAGCCAATATAACAGTCATTAAACCATTACATCAATTAATTACTTCTAAATTAATGACTGAACATTCCAAGTACTGTTTTCTGTATTATATTAAATAATTCAATCCAGTGGTCTATTAAATGAATATAGTAAACTTATAAAATAGTAAAACAATAATATGACTTGTACAATTATACATACCAATTGTGGATTGGACTCAATGACACTCATACAAAAATCCTCTCAATCTTGTGATGTTACTGCAACATACTGTAATTAAACATGTGCACAATAGAGAATGACAGTGATTTATATTAATGACTGCAAATATATATTACTTTAAATATGCTGCCATTATCAGATGCATTGTAAACAAATCATGTACAATATACATGAATATCTTATTTTAATAAACTTTAGACACACAGCTCATTTGTAACTCACTTAAACAAAGTAAGCAACCAATATTAAACTTCACCAACCTCAATCCAAAATCTAAAATCCTATTTAAGAATTAATAACCAAATTATTATTTTAAACAACTGAAAAAATGTCTGCCTTCTACCAAAAACTGATGACAACTCAGAAAACGGCGGGAACAATTACACGCATGATTAACTAATAAAACAGCCAAGGGAAATCACTCCTACAGATTTTAATCAATAAACTACAACTGATTATTTCCCTTTGGTTACACAAAAAAATTATTTCTTTTAACTAATAAACTGCAATTCCTTAATATTTAATTTTATTTCTTACTCACACATCAGTTGATCTGTACTTGACCACTGGACTGTTACATGTACCATACAATTACCATATTTCTGTTCAATCATGTAGAAATTAAAAGAACTGTCCCTGGATCAGCACTTATACAAAAAGTGTCTGTAATATGAAACACTAAACTTGGTACTTAAAAACACTGTCAGTCTATCACTACAATCACTTCGTGTTTAACTTAAAAGTTTATGTCCCTGCTCCTGTAAACGTTGGTGTCGTCGATCCTGGATTCGAAGAAAAGCCTATATCGTGTTGTCGGTTATGGATATGAAGATCTCCCAGTTGGTACTCCGTCAAGCAAGCGTATTAGTGGAAATATCACTAATTCTCCAAATAAACGATAAAAATTCCTGTCTAACGCATATAACGAAATGATGAGTTGCACAGTAATGTCCTGAATATGTGTATCTGCTCCGTAAAATCCAAATTCAAATGTATACGTATATGCCACTGAAGTTCTAAACTTAAAAATTAAGTATGTATTATCACTATGCACAAAATGCAAACCTTATAATAAACTATGTCACTGTGCATTAAATGCAAAATAATTTGAACACAGTTACTTAAACTGTAAATAATAAAGTTCTGCAGTCAATAAACTGGAAATTCACTTAAAGTTAAAAACACTGAGATCACTGAAAATACCGTTGGGCGCCAATTGTTACCTTTGTTAAAATTATGCCCTTAAAGATGTAAAGGAATAAATATCAACGAGGCTGAGTTCGTTCAATACTTTTATTTGAAATGTCCATTCAGTGTATGATCTCAGTATATTACTATATAATATAAAGCTTCAAGTAGATTTAACCCAAGAGGTTAAAGTCACATCACATTCACAACTTCACATCAAGTACTTGTTTAAGCACCAATCAATATATAATCAGTATCAAGAAGATATCAATATGAAGATCAATATGAAGATCAATATGTAGATCAATATGTAGATCAAGCCCTGAAACAAACAAATATAGCAATACTAAATACATGTACATACTGAGATCATTAACACAACACAATATATACAATTTAAGTCATAGCATGATTATAACATACATCTCACATCAAATAGCCAATATAACAGTCATTAAACCATTACATCAATTAATTACTTCTAAATTAATGACTGAACATTCCAAGTACTGTTTTCTGTATTATATTAAATAATTCAATCCAGTGGTCTATTAAATGAATATAGTAAACTTATAAAATAGTAAAACAATAATATGACTTGTACAATTATACATACCAATTGTGGATTGGACTCAATGACACCCATACAAAAATCCTCTCAATCTTGTGATGTTACTGCAACATACTGTAATTAAACATGTGCACAATAGAGAATGACAGTGGTTTATATTAATGACTGCAAATAGATATTACTTTAAATATGCTGCCATTATCAGATGCATTGTAAACAAATCATGTACAATATACATGAATATCTTATTTTAATAAACTTTAGACACACAGCTCATTTGTAACTCACTTAAACAAAGTAAACAACCAATATTAAACTTCACCAACCTCAATCCAAAATCTAAAATCCTATTTAAGAATTAATAACCAAATTATTATTTTAAACAACTGAAAAAAATGTCTGCCTTCTACCAAAAACTGATGACAACTCAGAAAACGGCGGGAACAATTACACGCATGATTAACTAATAAAACAGCCAAGGGAAATCACTCCTACAGATTTTAATCAATAAACTACAACTGATTATTTCCCTTTGGTTACACATACAGAACATTTATCAATATAAACATCAATAAAACAACGTTTTCTCATATTCATTTTGTGCTTTCCATTTTTGTAATTTTAAACTGAATGACAGATTCTCTATTTGTTTACATTGACAACTGTCCGTTTCTAAGAAAGGGCGACAACCAAGACAATGCTGCTCGCCGTTTATGCGACTGAGGCCCTCGAATCAATAATTTCAATATAACAAGAGCGCATGACTCTTTGGCAAACAGGCCAAATCGTCAACTTTTTTGTTTGTTTTACTGGGCCCTGTATGTATTGCGCATAGGTGAAACCGGGCTTTAACAAGAGCGCGTGACTATGTTAACGCATGGTTTTGGTCCCGTTATAACATGGGCAAAATAGGGGAAAATAGCCGATTTTATGCTACAATACCTATTCAGGTGATATCGTGATTTTTTTTACCGTAATTATAAAGATCGTTGCTTTAATAAGGTTCAAATGCGCTGTGTTTACCTCTATCTTAAAGGTACATTACGCTCAATCAGTCTGGTTGAGTTCAATTTACTATATATTTAAAAAAGAATTGACTATTATAATGGCCATTGAACAATAGTTGACTATAAAATTGCCATGGATAAAATATGATAATTTGCCTGAAATATAAAAGGCCTGTCCCAGTCTTTTTATCAACGGAGCATTAACGATATATTCCGAAGGATATCTATAGAAATTATTGTGATTCATGTGTGTAATTGATTATTCACATGGACTATTATCTATAATTAAGAATTGAAACCAATTATGGAAAAATCTCAAGTTGTTTTGACTTTGACCTTTTCACCCACTATTTATACTTGGATAGGCATAATGTCACTTAAATTTATGTTTAACTATGGATCTCTTTTTTGTTATTTCATAGGTAATGAGGGTATACGGCGTAGTGTTGCCACACGTGACACTGATGAAAGGTTTGTCTGTCAGTTTGCCACTTTTTTTTTCTCAGATGGGCCCAATATACTTTTTAACCCTGCGTAAAATCCAGACTGGATGACATCGTACAACAACTCAACTTCCTAGTTGACGAAGGTCAAACGATAGGTCCAGATGGTAAAGGGACAAACGGACCTGACGCTGTGCTGTCGATGGTAGACTGGACATTGCAGAATCAAGTTAATTAGACTTCTGCCTTGTCGATACACTCGGTATTTTTATAGCAAACTATTTACAATGTTACACACCTCCCCTATGCACAGGTCTGTTCAAGTCAGACAGACCCGATCATGAAAAACACGTGAAAAAAATAGACCTGCCTATGCGCAGAAAAGGAAAACATGAAATGTAATCAAAAATTGAAAATTGGGAACGTGCATTCCTAGGAAACTGCAGCTACCAACAGTTAATAGTCAAGTCCCTGGTAACATTCCCACCCGCGGGATCAATCGGATTGTTAAATCCCCGTTAATCTCTCCCTCTCTCGTTGAGTGCTTTATCCTGTCTTACTATTCAACCGGTGAAAAATCAAAACTGATTTCCCTTGAAACCTTCGAATCTAGGGCTTAGTTTCAAAGAATGCTTCACAACAACGTTAAAGATATATAATCTAAAACTTGCTTATAGTGACATGCATATAAAAGTACTTAAAGTGGATTGGTCTACAAAGGGCACATCTCCCATTAGTATTTTAAATATCGATAGAAAAGATAGAAATGTATTATTCGGATATTATTTAAAAAAATCCTTAACAAAAGAAATGTTAATAAAGTTATAAGTGATTTAGCATAACATTTTATATGACGAGCGATCATATTTTATTCTAGAACACTTTATAATATCTGCTATATAAAATACTATTTCGGATCATGTATCTTACACTTGCCAACAATATTCAATGTACATATGTAAGTCTTTCGTGGTTTGCCCCTCAGACAGTTGCTTCTCGGAAATTTGCCACCTTTTAGCAGTGGGGAACATTTACCCCCTTATATCTTTGTAAGGGGCGGACATTTGCTGCTCCCCCCTGTCGCTTGTTTTTAAAATGTTAAGATATTAAATTGTTGAATTGTTTGTTACAAAAAATCATCGCCTTTTGTCGAAATTCCATTGTGTTTAAATAAACAAAAACTAACGCACAACTTTGTCCATAAATTAATAAAATAAAAAAAGCCTACCTGTTTATGCGATGCGTTAAAAATAATATTTGTGCATTACATCAAATGTTTCGGATCAACCATTGCTCAAGGCAATAGTTTGACGGTGTGTAAGTTGGATATCGGCCTCGTACATCGATCTTTCTGTTTAGGAAAGACCTGGTCACGAATTTCATGAAACACATGAAATTCATGACCAGGTCTTTCCTAAACAGAAAGACCTCGTACTCGGTCGATATCCTATACGTAAATAACAACGGGCGCTATTTGCTTGATTTTTGTAAGCAAACTGGTTTTCATATAGTGAATGGAAGAAAGGGTAAAGATGAAAATGTAGGGAAGCACACTTTTGTAAATAGGCAAGGTTGTAGTGTTGTTGAGTATTTATTATGTAAAAGTTCTATGTTTTTTAATATTGATATGTTTGAAATTGACGATCCTAATATTGTTTCTGTTCATTGCCTGATGTCAGTCTCTTTTGTATTTGATACATGTAATTTACTTGAAAGTACACATGGTCACTCTTCCGTAAATAAATCTGATAGTGAAAAATTTAAATATGTTTGGAAACCGGAGTTGAAATCTCAGTATGTTGAAAATTTACTAGACGAAGATAATTATGTTTAGATGAGCTAGAACGTAAAATTGAGGCCAGTCTTTCGAGCCAAGGTATAGATGAATGTATATGTGATTTAGAAAATGTGTTCGGTAAAATTGCATCGCCTTGTGTAAAGAGATCTAATTTTGAAAGTAATAATGATATAAAGTGCGAAACTTCACAACCCTGGATTAATGAATATTGTTATGAAAAGAAATGTATATTTTTAAAATATCTTGATGTTTATCGAAAATGCCAGAATGAGGCAAATAGGGTCAATATGGTAAAAGCAAGGTCAGAATATAAGTCTTTACTGCGTATGTGTAGATATAATTATGATAAAGAAAAGACTGAAAAATTAATAGGTAGTAGGCATGAAAACGCTAGATTATATTGGAATATGCTAAAAGAAACGTCTGGCATAAAACAACCTAACATATCTATGTCAACATTTGAAAAAATATTTTAAAGCTGTCAATAATCCAAATGATCGATTTTTGCACCCGATGAAGATGTTTTACATTTTATAGATAAGTATGAAAATGATGAATACAAAATTGTGTTCAGGGAATTAAATGAACATGAAATAAATCATGCTATAGGACAACTGAAGGATAATAGATCAGGCGGTCCGGATTGTTTATTAAACGAATTTTTTATTACAGGTAAACACACCTTGAATAATATTTTCTATGCATTATTTAATAAAATTTTTGAAATAGGTTATTTTCCGGAAAGATGGTCAGAAGGTTATGTTATTCAATTGCACAAAAAAGGAAGCATTAATAATGTGGAAAATTATCGGGCATAACGTTATTAAGCTGTTTAGGAAAACTTTTCACTCGAATAGTTAATAATAGGTTAAAATCATGGGCTGAAAAGTATAATGTTTATATTGAAGCGCAAGCAGGATTTTGGGCTAATATGAGTACAGTTGACAATATTTTTGTTTTAAATGGTCTAATTACTCATGTACTTAATCAAGGGAAGCAACTTTTTACTTTATTTGTTGACTACACAAAAGCATTTGATTATGTTGTAAGAGAAAGTCTTTGGTATAAATAAATTCATTTAGGATTAAGAGGAAATATATTAAACATAATAAAGTCTATTTACGATTCAGTTAAATCTAGAGTTAAGTTTTACAATAACTTAAGTGATGACTACGCATGCGCACTAGGCTTAAGACAGGGTGAGTGTTTATCACCATTTTTATTTTCGATTTAGAGGATTTATTTATTCATAATAAAGCGGATGGAATTGATGTTAATATGTTTAAAATATTCATGTTATTATATGCTGATGACATAGTTATTTTTGCAAACTCAGCTGAATCCTTGCAACGTAGTATTAATTTATTGTATGATTATTGTATGCAATGGAAACTCAAAGTAAGTGTTTCGAAAACTAAAGTAATGATATTTAAGAAAGGTGGTTATAATTCTCGTAATACTGTATTTTAATTTAATCATGAGCCAATCGAAATTGTTAAAACATTTTGTTATTTAGGTATTGTGTTTACAAGAAGAGGATCATTAAGTACAGCACAAAAAAACATTATCTGGTCAAGCCTAGAAGGCTATTTTTAAATTAGAGAAATATTTGTATAAGTTAACTTATATACCCCCAAAACATAAATTAGAATTGTTTGATAAGCTTGTAGCTCCAATATTAAATTATTGTTCCGAGGTATGCTGTTTCGCTAATGATTTATCAATTGAGAGAGTACATTTACAATTCTGTAAAAAAAATATTAGGTGTAAAGAAAACTACACAGAATGACTTCATTTATGGTGAATTAGGTCGAACTTCTTTTAAAACTATACAAATGTACAAAGCAATAAAATTTTGGCTAAGAATATTACAAACGAAACAAAATAAATATATTGTTATTGTTTACGACTTACTTAAATCAGATCTAGACATGTATCCTAGTAAAGTAAATTGGTGTTCATTATTGAAAAATCTATTATGTTCACTTGGATTTGTTGACGCTCAGATTTACCAAGGAGTAGGAAATGTTGATATGTTTCTGTCTATAACAAAACAAAGGTTAAATGATCATTTTATTCAAAACTGGAACGCAAGACTAAATCAATCCAGTAGGGCTTTATTTTATAATACAATATCATCTTTTAGATTTCAGCCTTATTTGGAATGTTTTTAATGTTCAAAATTTTGTCAAGCGTTTTCCCGTTTACGGTGTCTCTTCTCATAGATTACAGATAGAAAGCTGGTAGATGGTCTAGGCCATAAAATAGGACCCCTTTGAATGAAAGACTTTGTGTA